GGTAAAAAGTGATATTTTCGACTTCTTGTTGAAAACCGCAAGTCCAATTGCTTTGATATTTACATATATAGGTACTACATGTCGACCTCTCTCAGATTTGTTCATTTTGTAATGATATCTTCAATTCTCTAATTTTGGTGAATATTTTTGTAATTTTTGGTAAAAAGTGATATTTTCGACCTCTTGTTGAAAACCGCAAGTCCAATTGCTTTGATATTACATATATAGGTACTACATGTGGACCTCTCTCAAATTTGTTCATTTTGTAATGATATCTTTAATTCTCTAATTTTGGTGAATATTTTTGTCATTTTTGGTAAAAAGTGATATTTTCGACTTCTTGTTGAAAACCGCAAGTCCAATTGCTTTGATATTTACATATATAGGTACTACATGTGGACCTCTCTCAGATTTGTTCATTTTGTAATGATATCTTCAATTCTCTAATTTTGGTGAATATTTTTGTAATTTTTGGTAAAAAGTGATATTTTCGACTTCTTGTTGAAAACCGCAAGTCCAATTGCTTTGATATTACATATATAGGTACTACATGTGGACCTCTCTCAGATTTGTTCATTTTCTAATGATATCTTCTGTTCTTTAATTGCCATGTGCATTGCTAACAGCGGAGCTATCTCAGCCGACAGGCTGCTTGTTTCACTTTTCACAAAATTACATGTGAAACAACGTGCAAACAGCTGTAGCATCAGAGGATTATATGTTTGATCAGTACTGTACTCGCTGGTCATCCATGATGAATGAAAGCATGCTTTGAACAATAGAATGCTCAGTTAGTGCGAATCCCAACCACACCCCCCAACAAATTATCATTGGGGAATTAGTTAACTGTTATAATTGAGTATAAACTTCCTTGTATTGTTTTTTTCATAGCCCTGCACAAGAAGAACAGAAAATATTTAAAGCGCAGTTTCCAATTGACAAAGAAGTAAATAAAGCGAAGGTGAGTTTTCATCGTGATGCAATTAAAACTGTACCTGGTGTTGAATGCCAAAAAAACGAATGAGTCATTCACCC